AAAACAGAAACTTTAATACGTAGCTTACGTGATTATTCACTGTAAAAAAATCGGTGTGAGTGAAAGCAATAAAGGTTCGGTCGGAGTAATTCTATTGAGTGAATTTATTGAATACATTTTCACTCAATATTGGGCATTTTAATCATTTTACTCATTTGTGATTATATTCACTCAAGTATAGGTACTTCTAAAATAAATTCTTCACGTAAACTCGTATTTGGTGCACTTGTACCGAAATCAGAGTAAATGTCCTCATTACTGAGTTTAAATGTATATTAATTTCGAGTAATTTGAATGGCGCCGTGAAGATGGCACCACTTACATATTGCTTTTGTAATCTCGACCACAGTTGATAGGGGCCCGGTAGATGCTCCAGAAGAGCGTGGTCGCCAGGAGAACAGGTCTTAGCCGGCGGCGGAGGGTCTCAGCTGGCGGGTCTCAGCAATGCTGAAATAACGGTGATTTCAGGCTATTGATGACATCAAAGAAAATTACTGCCTATGGATGAGTAAAACAAGTAATGGCAGTGGATTGGATATTGGGGTGTTATATTTTATCATATTTTATAAAATACTACCTCAAAAAACAAAACTTTTAAATTTGTATGTGTTTTTTTAACACTGTACCGTTTCTGCTTCTTTAACTTCTGTAAAAATACTTTTGTATTATATATTAACATCAATAATGACAGAAAAAAATAGTACTTTTATTTATACTATCAACAGGCAAGTTAATTTTTAATAATTTTTCTAAACACTCAATTTTAAATGTGAATTTATTTAAAAATATCCGAAAAAAGTTCTTTTATTCATTCTGAACAAAAACATATTTTCAAAGTAAAAAAAACTTTTTACTTTGATGGTGGACCATGCGACCTTGACTAATATCAGGCAATTTTGAATTTAGTTTTAGGTGAAATGAAGCATGGAATGGACATCCTGCCTGTCCTTCGTTAGGTTTTAGTGCATCTGCCCTAAAAAACCACCGGTATATGGGTGTAGGTAAAAGCTGCGTGGGTAAAAATTAACAGGCCTTTACCGGCATGCAACTATATGAAAATGATTAAAATTCATGACCACTTAATTATAGAAACAGCTGCCCGTACGGGTACAAGTGCATTGTTATGCAACTGCTGAAATAACAAATGCAGAAAAGTGCACACTGCGAGCCCAGACAAAAAAGGAAAGGGAGCTGTATTTTTTTTAACTTAATGTGTAACGAAAACTGGAGACTGCCGCAGCGTGGTATCGTTAATTTATTATTGTTTATTTTAATGGGACTTTTTAAATACGATGTTTGTTAAAACATTTATTTGCATATTGCGTTGCAATATTTAATCAATTTTTAATGGTACAAAACTGAAAATATCTAGTAAGGTATAAAATTCTTTCATTAGGTTTTAGGAAATTTGTAGATTCTCGTACAACTATGATTTTCATTTTGGTAATAACATAAAAAAGATTAGCTTGTCCCAGAAAATCTTAAAGGTGTGTCCTGGTCCTTAGTATGTCACAATGCATGAGTAGAAAATAAGAAATAGTGCCACTTTTCGCATAGTATGAATAAATTTTGATTTTTTAAATTTTATTTTTGCCATAAGGACAAATTTATCTTATTGGCCAATATATTGCCAATCCGCACAATTGTATAAAAACACTTGCAAAATATACGTTCTTTTGTTAAGGCTTAGTCCAGATCTACAAACAATTTTCCATACAAATGTTTTTAAACAGTGCTCAATGCAAAAATAAAAATATTGCCCTTAAACAAAACTAAAGAAAAAGTTTTTTGCTCCTTTTGAACGAAAGTTTGTAAACATTCTGAACATTTTTTGGGAGAGTCCAAAAATGATGATGAATGAAAATGATTTTTTCAAAATGACACACGGACTTCGAAACTTTATTTGAAAAGTACCGTCCATTTATGCCCATACAAAATATAACATTTAGAACATCCTGATCCATACTAGATGACAAACAAAAATAAAAAGCGTTTGCACAAAAGTTTGTACATAGGTAAATGTTTTTAGCAGTTGTCAGCACTTTGATTTCATGCAGACGTTTTCTGTGTCCTTAGATGGCGAAGCTAATAAATAAGAATCATTTATGTCTGCAGAAAAGCGTATTAAAATCCATAGATAACAATCGAATTATAAATACTAAAATTATTAATTTGAAGAATTGATTATGGTTTTATTGTTTCTTCGCTATCTGTTTTTTGCCACCTTAGGAAGCTTATTCGCTATTTTGCTACTGGGAATATTATGTTATAAATTATAGAGAATTTCAGAACCATTTTAAGATAATATATTACTTGTATGATGGATCTGAGTTCCTCTGATCCTTTCATTTTCAAATAGAGGGTTCTCAATCTCTCTAATAGTTCGTATAATTATACTTTACATCAAAATATTAAAGACTATGCGTTAATATTGACAAAATCCTCGAAAATTATTTTTGTGTCATGCTATGTTTGCAACTATATTTTATATTTGTAATATACAAGGTTTTATTATTTTACTAACAATAATAACCCGGAACATATTATTTACTAAACTAAAAGAAGTGTAATTGTGAGTACATATTTTTTTCAGACTAAAAGAAAAAGGGGGCAAAAAGTGGCTATGAGAAAGTATTCTTCTTTTTTCAATATCACCTCAAACAAAGCTGAAATGAAACAAAAACGGATTTCCAAAATTACGTTTTTTTTTTCAAATATTTCTAAAACTAATCATGTTAGCCTTGATTTTTTAGAGGCATAATGTTGGTCCCCTGATTACCCAACTTTACCCCCATTTAAGCTACTTCGTACCTTTTACCGCTTCCGAGATCTCTGTAATAAGAAGCGAATTTGTAACAGCCTATATAGTGATGTCATTGTCAATAAAAAACAAAATTGTTTATTTAAACACATATATTTAATAGTATAATATTAGATCTATGTTTAAACATTGGAACACGAAATTCATTCAATTCTAGAAAGATCTAGAAAGCTAGTGAAAATATTTTCGGCAGCACCAGCAGTGAAATACATGTCTGAAAGTCATGCTTTTAAGGTCTCCTCCAATAATACTCTTACTGCATTTAGATACTCTAACGCATCCGAAATACTATCAACAACAGAATATGGCTAATACATGAAGACAGTCTCAACCCTGTAAAACGCAGAGACCTTTTGAAAGATTGAACTGCTTTAATATTTTTATAGCTCAAGCTCACTTTATCTGGAGCCAAAATTCTTTTCATGTAATAAAGACAGGCAAAATTCTATACTTTTTAGTTGGTTTTATATTATTTTATTATTTATACTTTAAAAACGCGCAATACCATGAGGTATGGTTTGGTTGTCGAAAATTTAGTTCATCTTGCATTTGACATTCAAATTTCGATGATTTTCAGTTTGTAGCCGCCATCTTGAATCCGCCATGTGAAATTGAGCAATTTTGACTTCGGACTCGTCCGACCTCAAAAACCTTCGTAAACCAAATTTGACAAAAATCGGATGATTTTTTTCAAATTTCGACGATTTTGAGCTTTTCGCGTCCATCTTGGATCAGCCATCTTGGATCCGCCATCTTGGAGCCGCCTTGTGGAATAGAGCAAGTCTGACTTCGCATTCAAGATCAGCGATCATAAAAACCCCCGTAAACCAAATTTGGCAAATATCTGATGAATTTTTTCAAATTTCGGCGATTTTAAGCATTTAGCCGCCATCTTGGACTCGCCATCTTGAATTTCATCAAGCCACCTCATGAACTTTTTGTGAACATTAAATAGCAACAATTTAAGCCAGAAACCAATCGAATCCGATGGTAATTTTTTTTACAAGCTTTTTGGTGTGATGTATCCATTTTTTCCAGGGTTTCGGCCGCCATTTCGAAATTACTTAAAAGACCACACGGGATCAGAAAGGGGGATCAGTAAGGAAAATTTTAAGCCCTTGATTGCTAAAATCATAGCACATGAAAAGTGGAAGGAGCTTTGTTACGGTTGACAACTTTGTCAACGTCCCATAGATATTAATTTTATGAGGAAAACTACACTTATTGGTTCAAGAATTAAGTACAGCACATTAGAAAAACCTCTACTAAAATACCAGCATTTTTTAGGGGACCGCCTAGCCGGGTGTCTTGGCCGATGGATTTCGATCGGCCGAGGTAAGCATCACGGATGCAGGCTGGAACTTGGATGGGTGACCTAAAGCAGGCTCGGAACGTGGCTGTGGCAGCCTACCAGAGACCTTCCGCCTGCGTGTGGTCCCCGATAAAATGGTAATGAGAATAGAGCAACAAATCTCTGTAACTCAAAACCACGCTATTATACATAAAAAATTGTACGAAACTTTGCCAGCAAGCCACCGTGTAGTAATAGGACGGTTTGAAGAAAAGTAGTCGAGTAATGAAAGGGGGGTGTACAAGGGGCCTAGTAAGGCCTAAGTGCCGCGGTGATAAAGCAATTTTCCACCCCCCCCCCCCACAAACATACATACATACCAGCATTTATTAATAATTTTATATTTGTCAATATTTTTTTACTAGTTCGTTTTTTTTTGTTTTGTAGCTGGTGCTAAAAAATATTTGTTACATATTTTAAAGTTTATTTTAACTAGACATCTTATTTATATTAAGTAAATTTTGCAGAAACACTATTAATTGACGCTCTACAGTAGAAAAAATGGTGGTGGGGGGATCTGCAGCGCGTCACAGTCGAAGTTCTGTGAACACCGCATTATAAACACGAACATCTCAGCACTTTCCTCCCCGTGCAAATCCAGTCGCCTGTCGAGTGACTCTAACCGTAAAAAGGCTGTTCCCAACAGCGCGTAGTTCGACGAGCGCTGCCTGACAGCTTGTGATTTATGGTATGCCAAACCCGCGGTGGGAATCAGCAGGCTCGTCGCCGCTCGGCGCGGAACTCGGCTCTCGGCTCGTCCGGAATCGTGGATCCATGGCCTTCTTAGTCGACGGGGTCAGTAGAGCTTTGTCTGCGAGGCGCACGTTACAGTGTGGATCGAAAAAAAAATGGAGTGGTCCAACGACCTCGTCTTGAGGTTTCTGGAACTATACGAGGAGGAACCGACTATCTGGAACCCGAAACATCCGGATCACAAGAACCGACATTTAGCACATGACGCGTGGAAAAGGATCGAAATAAAGTTAGACAGCAGGTGGTCCGTAACGGAGTTGAAGAAGAAAAAGGACGCGCTTATGGCTACTTATAGGAAACTGTTGCATAAATTAAACGCGATTCATCTGAATGGAACTGACGCTTACAGGCCAGAGTGGTTTGCGTTCGACCACATGGAGAGGTTTTTACATAACGTCTATAGGCCTAATGTGACAAGAAATCCTGAGGTAAGAGACATACATATATACTATACACATACTTTCATTTTACACTAAGAATTTGTAAAGTTATACCACATACAAATATAGCTTATTCCTTCAGACCGCGTGTTAGATGCTGGAAATTGGCAACCATAAAAGGATGCAGGCTTTGTGAGCTGACATCCAATAAAATTTAGCGTAGTAACTCTTCTACTCGGTAATAGGTGGCAGTATTGCCAAGTAATAAATAACTGAGCATACAAATAAATTCAATGCATTTAACTATAAACTGAACAGTTATATGAAACTTAACTTTTATTTGGAAATGACATTTGTGTTAAATGCTAAATAAAATAAATTTAGTTAGAATTAATTGAAACTATAAATTTAACTAATTTATTATTTATTTTATATGAATTCGCCTTTTGGAATGAGAGAATTCAATAATTTGAAATTAATGTTTTTAGATTTGTGCGTCGACTTCCACAAATATGAAGTGGACCTTATTTGTGGAAGGGCGAAATGGGCGGTGACTATTAGACGTCTTCATTATAGCCATCTTTCTCAATCGCACGGATTTCTATGACTTTCTTTATCGCTCTCACGTAACGGCCGATGAACCATGGGAACTTTCCGACCCTATATACACACCCTGTACTTCCTACATGCGTTATTATTAAGCGCCGCCCTTTTCCAGAAGGTGACTTTAATCCAATCGAAAATCCAGAAATGCCTGCCGTTTGCTTTGGATATTGCCAGTCGTGCCACACTTTTGTCACCGTATAACCTTCATTTATCTATGTTTCGTCCGTGTGATATTTTCTACGATTTAGCTTTCGAGCTTCTAATTCTTGTCTTAAATAGTTTCTTCGCCATATCACTATTTCCTCGTTTTCTATCAGAATTCTCTTCCGATTTTGTTTTATAAAACGGAAATTCATGTCAAGCATAGTTCGCAAAAGCACCCTTCTAGATATTCTAGGCAAATTTTGATCCTGTGAGATAGCAGACTGAATTTTGTTTATTGTCGGCAGCTTATTTTTAAAATACCATACAGCTTGAATTACTCTCCATTTTTAAGAACAAAAACCCAAAATCACTAATAAATCAATTACAATCACAATTTAATTAACGGAAAGATATCCCCGGACTTCTGCCGTGCGTACGCCTATTTACCTGTGCCGACAGAATTGCCCGGAACCGAATAAACGCAACCCAATTGACGTTACAAACCAAACACCAATGAAAGTCAGGAATTTTCTGCAGCAGAAGAGTATCTGGTGCACGCCAAACGCAGCAGAAGGGTAACCTAAAAGTGTGCAATATCGACTGCTCTGGGAGAATGTGGCACACATAATTTTATACGACTAATTTACAAACGGCTCGTACTTCTCTTTGTGTTTAATACTAAAAATCACTGCCTATTATTTTGGGATCTGACTGTAGTTAGATGACGAAAGCTAAAAAGGCCACCATTTTTTTACAATAACATTTACAAAGTTAGTAGCACGGTATATGTAAACCAGCAGTTCCGCTCCATTGTCGGCACTTTGATCTTATTCAACCGTCTTCGGTGTCTTTGGATGGAGAAGCATTGATCAGGGCCGTAATAAGCATTTTTTGCTTGTTTAATTTAAACATACTAAAATTATTAATTTGTAGGATTTTATATATCTTTATTATTACTTCGCGTTGTTTTTCTAATCAGTTTATAAATTAAAATTCCTTTAAATTTCTTGATATTTTTTATTATGGTAAAATAGATATAATACATACATATAAAAGTGTATTAATTTAATTCAGCTTCACCATTAATATCAAGCCATTCGTTAATAATAAATCTTTCTGTTGAATTCGTAATAAGAATATTCAACAGTTTTAACACGCAAAACACAGTTTTTCCACGTCCACTTTGTTCACTTCACTAAGATTATAGGCATGATATATTATTACGTCTAACGTCAGATTTTAGCTGATGCCTTATGTGTGCTATAGGATTGACAGTGATACGGGGGAAACCTTACGACTTTGTACCTTTTTTTTCTGTGTTCAAGAAAATAACTCTCTTTTAAATGCATTTTCATGAAAATATATGTCTTTCTGATACATATACTTCGCATCTTTTGAACGATGATGTTTATTTAATTATTTACCGCAGCAATTCGCACTGTTCGTGACAATCACTCAGATGAAATGATTCTTTTAAATTTAAGTGTACTTAACGTCAATATTTCAGTCATTATGAGAGTCAGAGAGATATTTAAATTATGACAATTTAGGAGAATTTAGTAATGAAAGAGGTTGCACTTTCTATTTTGTTTCTACTAGATTTACGGATAATCGAGCAAAAGTGATATTTTTTATTTTCTCTCAAAGCACGATAAAATTTTTGTTAGGATCTGATAAGTCTAATATCTGAAATTTTTCTCGAGGTGAATAGCTGTCTACTATAGCCATTTCCTCTAAATTTCTATTTAAAAACCGTATTTCTGAACAACAATATTTGAAGAATCATTTAGCAAAGCTGGCTCATAAAAATTGAAGCCGTCATATTTTTATAAAGCATAGAACCCATACCGTGTTTTAAAAGATTTCTAGGCCTGCAAAAAGAATTTTTGCTATAAAAAAATAAGAAATAAAAATTAGGACAGCCCTCCTTGTCCAATTAAATTGGCCTTTAAATCGCAATTTGGTCAGTGAGAAAAATAAAAAAGGATATTTTTTAATTCCATATTTCGCAAATTTCGTTCGAAACTTTTTCGTTACATCATAATCTAAAAAACAATATGAGTTTCATATTTTTTTTATAAAAGTTTAACCACTAGTGTTTGTAGGAAACCAAATCACACAAATTTTAATTCGAATCATCATTTTGATATAAAAAAAGGTGTAATTAAATGTTTGTACGACAGAGCCAAATTGATTTATTTGAAATTTAAAATTAAAATTAAAATTTAAAAAAGAAAAGTCAGTACCAATTTAGAAAACGAAAACAAATTGATTTTCGAAACGGAAACAACTTTTTATAGCCCGCGATATAAGTGATGTGTATTTTGTATTTATCTGCTCTTTTTCAGTGTGAAATTTTTGGTAAATTAAAATTTTCATAAAAATAACCCTAGACTGATTGTTTTGGCCAAAGGGTTTGTCATTGATTTAAAAAAAATCACAGGTGGCAAAATACCCAATAAATAAAGAAAAAAAAGGAATTGTTGATGTAAGGAAACTTTTATTTTATGAACCTCTATATGTAAGAGCTTTAATAAGTCTGATACAGGGTGTATCACGAAGAGGGCCCAGTAGGATTATCTGAAAAACCAGTCAAAATTGAAATCTGGAAATTTGTATACAGGGGTTTATCAAAAAGATCTATTCAATGAAAATAGTGTCAACTTTCTCGCACTTCCTAATATACCGGAAATCATCAACTCTGTTATTTCAAATGGAACACTGTATATTTTTGCATGTTTTAATTCTACGGTAAAATCTAGACTAATTTCATATAAGATACTATGGGCCAAAATATGACAGTTTTGAAGTTATTATCAATTTTCGAAAAAAAAATGAGGGATTTAGCTTTATTTATTATTGAAATTTGGCATGGATAATTTAAAAACAATGGGATTCACCCAGTTTATGTCAAATTTGCAAAAATTCATACAGAATGTTTAAAAACATATGACCAATATTGTGACGTTGAAGTTGAATTTACTCTTGAACTAATTGAATTGAATAATAAACGGTGTCTGATTCATGAACTGTAATTTTTATTAATTTTTCTGTGTTGAAAGCAATAATTTCCAATTTACACAAGAACTGTTAACTTTGGGTATAGGGAACGAGAGTATCATTTTAAAGTAAATTTAATTATGCATACATTAATGTAATAGTATACAGGGTGTACCATTTGAAATATTTGAGTAAATTCAACTTCAACGTCACAATATTGGCCACACTGTATGAATTTTTGCAAATTTGAAATAAACTGGTTGAATTCCATTGCTTTAAATTATCTACGCCAAATTTCATATAGCAAGAAATAAAGCAAAATGTGGGAGTTATTCTATTTTCAAAAATCACATCGCTCAATTTTTTTTCGAAAATTAATAACTTGAAAACTGTCACATTTTGGCCCATAGTACCTTATATGAAAATAGTCTAGAATTTGCCGTAGAATTAATTAAAAAATGCGTAAATATACATAGTTCCATTTGAAATAAGAGAGCTGATGATGACTTCCGGTATATTAGGTAGTGCGAGGAAGTTGACACTATTTTCATTGAATACATCTTTTTAATAAACCCCTATATACAAGATTTCAATTCCGACTACTTTTTGAGATAATCCTACTGGGCTCTTTTTGTGGCACACCCTGTATATACGTTTGAATCTTGATTCTATGGCGATTATATTTCAGGTATTGAAACTAGAAGGCCCGGTATTAATTGAAACCGAAAGTACGAATCAAGTTGAGAGTGATGAGTCAATTGACGAGGATGAAATAGACGAAAATATCAAAACTGAAGTTAACCCTTTGTCCACTACCAATTTTACAAAGCAGATTAGCAATTCGAAGCCGACAATACAATCAATAATGAAACGAAAAAGAAGAGTACAAAGTATGGCGGCTGCAAAAGCTCGCAGAGCTGAATCATATCAAGTTTTCAAGAAATTAGCCAGACCTCGATCACTTACCTCAGACGAATGTTCTTTGTACTCCGAGTTGCTCGCGACAAAGTTGAGAGCTTTGGACGAAAATACCAGAGCGTTCGCAATGCTCCAAATCGATCACTTCATGTTTCGCCTCAGGCAAGAAAAGAACGGCATACAAAAGGCACCGTCATGCAATCAAATGTCCACCAACTCTTGGTTTCCTCAGTGTTTTCCACACTTACATGTATCGGACTCGGGGCTTCAAACATCAGCTCGCTGCGCTCATCAGTTGCAGCCATCACCACGTCATTATTCTCGACAACCGTCACCTCAGGGTTCTCAGTCGTCAGCATCCATAATTTCGCCATTACCTCCACCATCTCCAAGTATACAGTCTCCCTCTCAACAGTCCCGTGAGGGTTCGCCTCGGTCTAACCAGAGTATAGAGGATTTTGATCCACTAATGGCCTTGTAGCCATGCAGATAAAGTAAATACGTGTTAATAAAATATTTCCTATAAAAAACGTATACTTTTTAAATCGAAAAAGGATCGGCAGTTTTTTAAATATCTCTGAGGATATTTGATGCAGAATGACGGAGCTAATGATTTATCTAATTGAAGGTAAAAATCCAAAGGTACCAGTGGTGGAGATATCGTGAGTTGCTCTCACTGAAAATCCAAGAAATTCCATGTCAATGGAAACGGAAATTGGTATTTCCATAAAAAAAATGTTTTTTTTACTTTCATTAAAGTTATCAAACATTTCATTATAACTAACATAACACTAGAGCTACTCGTTTCGCAAAAAAGTTCATACGTTCAACTTGTAAACCTCCAAGTAATACACATTTTTCTAATTTTTTTTTTAAATTCCTTGTACACAAACGAGATCCTTCTTCGTTTATGGTGGCAACAGTTTCTTGAATTCTTTGCTTAATAATCAATGTTATCGACAAAATCGTTTGAATACACTTTTTGCTTTAGGTATTCCCATAAGAAATAGTCTAATGAGAACAAGTCGGGTGTCCGTGCAGGCCAAGGTGTTGATCCATAGCGTCTGAAAATTTGGATTATTTTTAGCCCAGTATCTACAATTTTGAGACGAAACCACGCCATTAGTTACGAATGAAGATTCGTTAGTAAATAAAATATTGTGATGAAATAATCTGTTTTCAATAAGTTTCTCGCCCTTGTTAAACAAAAGTTCAAACGACAACTATCATCTTCATCAAGCAATTTATGATTAATTACTGGTTTGAATGGACAGATTTTGTTAATTAATTGTATACTAAAATTCTTTGAATATGAGATCTGCTAATATATATATATTTCCTGACCTTTTCCTGAGTGGCATCTTTGGGTTGTCTTGTACAGAGTCCATAACTACGACAGTAGCAGCATCGTTATCATTGTATTCTTTTTTATCTTTTTAATACTCGCATTTTTTACATCACCAGTGGTATCGACGTACACAATTAATTAGTTTGCGAGTTACACTTACATTTGGATACTTTTCATTAAAAATCTATATTGCATATGGATATGAAACATTACCGATTCCATAACATTTCACAAGATAAATTCGTTGCTTCAGGGTTAGCATTATTAATAAAAATTATTCGGAGGGCAGTTAATAAATATAAATATGTTGATTTTGACGTTGATAAGGAGAAATCCATGGTAATTATATGGTATTTTAATAAATATGGTTAAAAATCACGCCTTCTTATTTGCAAAATATGATTATTCTTCCTTTTTGACTAAACCCCGTATTTAAGCATTTCTTGAGTATTCGAACAACTTTGTTAAATACAGTTTCTAACGAAAACAAAAATTATGACATTTGATTACTGTCCATGGCTTCCCAAGATAAGCAAAACTTTTTATCTAGAATAATGTCTTCTCGAAAAATCAACAATAAAAATTTTAACAAGAGAGCGGTACCCCTACCGGAGACACAATGTATATGATTAGTTTGTTTTTAAAGTTGTATTTTTAGCAATAAAGAACGTTTTTTGAGAAATGAGTAGTTACTTTACGTTTGATGGAGTATTTGGCAACATTAATAAAATTAAAAAAAAAATAGGAAACCGAGATTGGTACGTTTTTCGAATAAAATTAAAAATATTTTTTTCGGAAATACCGCAAGAGTTATAGAATTTTCAAAATATCCAGCGGCTTTGAATTTCAGGGGTATCAGTGAAAGCGTCCCCGGTATCTCCGCCACTGGTACATGTATTTATATCCGAATTCAGTGGATATTTACCTTTAATTAGAAAAATCATTAGCCTACGTTTGATCATTGTGCGTCAAATATCTTTACATGTTTTAGAAAATATGTTTTTTTTTTTACTTTTAACACTCTGTACCTTGAAAATTATTAATTTGTGGACCCATTTTTGTGGGGTATTAAAAAGGTTATATTTTTGGCTTTAAATCTTTCAACAAAGCACTTCTTAAAGTTTATCCACTTAATACTTAATTAGCATCCTGTATAATTGTTGTGTAGGTAACTTAAATCAGGTGATTTTGAAGTTAGATTATTATTATAGGCAACCAGAATTACAACTATTACAATGATGTGTGTCGTGTGTCACAATTACTATTTACATTATTTTTGTGCCGGACATTAATGACAGATTAAGTAAAAGAGGAACTAATTTCTGTTAAAAATTATATAATTACACTTTTATTTACTTGAATTAACTTAAATATTTACACTAATAATGTTGTGGATTATTAGACCAGGGCGGATCTGCCAAAATATTCCACTTCTTGGATGTAAGAGGGGGCAAGCTAATTTTTGCTGAAATACCTTAAGTACAACTCACATAATAAAAGTGTAGATCCCTAGATCTGGGCGAGGTCAGGAACATATTCAAAATAGCAAAATTGTTTAAAAAATTTAAAAAATGCTCTTTTAGATATATTTTGGAACCTATGCATTTTGGAAGAATATTGAATTAGAAAAAAATTTTAGAATTTTGCACAATATACTGTGAGTTAAAAATGTTTAAATTTGTTACCGATGTTGCAAAATAGCAATAATTGATGAAAAAAAGGCAAAATAATCAAGTTTCTTTGATAATTTTTTTAAAATATTTTAATTGCTCCAAGAGCATTATAATTTTGGAAAAAGAAACTTTAATTTCATTAAATTCGGTTAGATAGTTTTCGCAAAACAATCTTTTTAAAAAAAAAATTTCGAATTTTCAAAATGTTGCACAGCCTCAAATAAAGCATCTAGATACTTGAAAATTTTTTCACATAGAAAAGACCGCTCAACCTTTCAAATGGTTTTTGAAAAATTTAAATCGGTTGATTAGGACGGCCACAGTACCTAAATTTTTAAAGTTAACTTTTTTTTTATTTTTAAACAATTAGATTACATTTGTCAATTTGCAATTTAGTTTTTTCAAAAATTATAATTTTAAAGTACTCGGAAAGACGCTTCTTTTTTTTTTAAAGTTAAATTTCGTTTATTGGTTCTCGAGATATAAGCGGTCAAAGTTTATCGGCATTTACCGTTAATTTATAAACAATTCATCAATAATCTTTGATCCAGTGGCTTCGTTATTCCGAGTTCTAAGCTGGAAAAAATTTTCATATCCATAAGTTATCGGCAACATAGATAAATCATCGGAAAAGCTGTCGCTCGCACGCGCGAAAAGTGATTCAAAACACGAAAAGTGAGGCCCTGGGCTTTCGTTCCGAGACTGAAGTCTAATGGACCAATTTCGATCTTTTTTTTAATCCGATGTCTCGCGAGCCAAGGAATTTGAATATCGTAATGCCAACTGTCTAATTTGCACATATTTTGTTATAAACAAATAATGCATTAAATATAGTGTATACGTATATATTTCAACACTAAATATGAATACATTTAGTGATAATTATTACAATTATTTAAATAATTTTTGTTTAAACAAATTATTTTTTTTATTTGGAAATTAATTTTTTTGTTAAATACTGATAAAATAAAGAAAAAATAGTACTTTAAAATTATAATTTTTGAAAAAAACTAAATTGCAAATTGATAAATTAATGTAATCTAATTGTTTAAAAATAAAAAAAGGAGTGTTAACTTTAAAAATTTACTGTGGCAGTCCTAATGAACCGATTATGATGACTATCTAGATGCTTTATTTGAGGCTGTGCAACATTTTGAAAATTCGAAATTTTTTTTTAAAAAATTATTTTGCGAAAACTATTGAACCGATTTTTATGAAATTTGGTATGTTGTTTTATTATACTTTAAAGTTCTTTTACCAAAATTATAATGCCTTTGGAGCAATTAAAATATTTTTAAAAAATTATCCGAAAAACTCGATTATTTTGCCTTTTTTCATCAATTATTGCTATTTTGCAACATCGGTAATAAATTTAAACATTTTTAACTTCCAGTATATTGTGCAAAATTCAATTTTAAAACTTTTTTCTTCTTCAATATTTTTCCAAAATGCATAGGTTCCAAGATATAAGTAAAAACCCGCTCAACCTTTCCAGAATCCAGAAAAAAATTGTTTGCCCCCTCTCAGATCCACCTCAAAACAGATCCGCCCTGGTATATATTTGCTATATTAAAATCTTCTAAGCGTCCTTCTGAGCTGTTAGTTTTTGCCTTCAAACTTCATTTTAGCTTGTAATCTGTCACTTCTGAAGATACGTCACTCGTGATGCATGGAGTTCCTCTAGCTGGTTTACATTTGCATTTTTTCAAAACTGTGAAAAATGTAATCGGTCTAAGAGCGCATCTGAATAGAATAATTTAAAACTCCTGATTTCCCCGTTTTTCCATTTGTAAAGTTTCCCATATGTGCATCACTAAAGTGATCCACCCGGTATAATTGCGACACAGATAAAGAATATAGAAAATTTCTTAGCTCAACGTAGGTACATGATAAATTTTCATGGAAATTTACATTTAAATTTTTAACGAACGCATAAAATTACGTTTGTAACTATGTAATCTAATTTTCCTTGTAGTATTTAGCTAATTTAACAAAACTAGGTATACCTATGTGGCGTTGATATAACCTAGTCTAATGTGTAGGTAAATTTCACAAAAAAGTGTTTGAGTGTAAACGTTTCTTGACTTAACTCGCTTTGGAAGCCGCTTTAGCACCTAAAGAAAAAAATACAGGTAACCGTATCTAAACACGGAAGATTTAAAGACAATTTAATTACACTGTTTTATTTTACAAATTACATTGATAATTAATCACTGTAATTGCACCGTTTTAAAAATTTGTCGCGAGCAAGGGGAAACTTTATCGAAGCAAGAAAGTGCATTATCTTCCAACAACAGCTGTAATAAAAAACAGATGTTTTTTACTGGCTCGCATTTGTTCATAAACACTATCTACCCGACTTGCAATAAACGAACAGAAAAGTAAGGAAAGATAGAGAAGGCAGCAACACAGGAAACGCTCGGCGTGCAGGAAATCCAAGAGCTACGTCCCGAATATGACCTCGCAGAGTACC